AGCAGTTAAATGCCTGTTATTTGACCGTTTTTTGACATTTAAAAAAATGCAAAATAAATGCATTTAAACGTTCCCAGTTATAATGGCAAAAAACGGCCTAAAAACGGGGGCAAATGTCATAAAAATGCCATTTAAATGCTTATTAACAGAGTATTAAATGGCATTTAATTGGCAATTAATTACACCGTTTTCAACGTCCTGGGTTGCTTGTTCTTGTTACGAAAACTTTTTCGAAAAACTTTCTAAATTTGCTGCTTTTCTTACTGCGAGCCTTACCCCATTTGGGAACGTTCCGCCGCCTCTGATATATTCTGTGATTCGCTAAAGTTTGAGTGAGCAACGATATAGTAAACGTGCACATTCAGGACATAGATTTCATCTAGTCCCACCTTAGTCCATCAAGTTTGAATGGAGGAGTTCCACTTCCGACCCAAAATCTACGCTGATAAGCTTTTTAAACGAAGGCACGGTTATATTCAATCTACGTAGCTAGAAGAATAGCTCGGCTTTAATTAAAGTGTTAATGTAACATTAAAGTACGATAAATCCGTTGTATCTAAATCATAACAAAGAAATCGTACACATGAAACTATACGTAGTTGTGACCGTTTTTCTTTTTTTCAGATATTCAACAGAAATCGTCGTCCTTTAGCTCAAAAAATGTCTGTGGAACAATCGCTACTAAATTACGTCTTATCATACAGTGAACGAGGAAATATTCAAAGTGTGTTGAATTCAATCGATCATTATTGCTGGAGCCGTCATATGATGGTGCATATTGGTGATGTCAAAGGAGCAATATTAGATGCGCAGGTGAGAAAACGACGACCAAAAACTGTTCTAGAATTAGGGACATACTGTGGTTATGGTACATTACGTATTATCTCTCAATTACCTAGAGATGCTCTATTTATAAGTGTTGAAGCGGATCCAGCCACAGCGTATATCGCTCAACAAATTCTTGAGCATGCCGGTGTTATTGATAGAGTTATAATTGTTCCTGGGTTAAGTGACTATGTCATACCACAAATTAGAAATTACTACAATATATCATCGTTTGATTTTATATTTATTGATCATTCAAAAGAATCCTATTTACGTGATTTAAGATTACTTGAACACACAAATTTAATTAGTACAGGCTCAATGATCGTCGCCGACAATGTTATTTTCCCGGGCGTACCTGATTATTTGCAATATGTGAGAAATAATCCAAATTATAAGAGCAAATTATATGAATCATTTGTAGAATATTCAACAGATATCAGAGATGGTGTCGAAGTGTCCGTAAGAAAATAATACACGCAAAACATCACTATTTGATTCAGATTGAAAGACAACATTTCTTGTAACAAAATCAGATTTTTTAACTGTTTTTAGTCTTCTCTCCGATGGATGCAGAGGTCTATATTATTTCAAAATATATTATATATTATAATATTTTCATATAACTTATGATCGAAACTATCCTTGACTGTTCTCTGAGCTAGTTTTTTTGTCACGCACTTAAAAGCCCACAAATGACGATTTGGGACATTCAGCGTTCTTCGCTTTCTTCGAGAAGAGCAGCAAAGTTGAGACATTGTAATTCAACCATGTTGTAACTATTTTGTGCAATTGTTAACTTACACCACTGATGGGTAGTTAATCACTCGATTGTATGACACTTCGGTTTCCCTAATAATAGTTTAAAACAACAAGTGGAGTGCTATTTACAACTTGTAAAGATGATTAAATCATAGCTAAAGCTTTAGTAGAGGAAATTGGCGATAAATGATGTGCCTGAACTGCACGCTGATATATGCTGCGAGTGATATATTACCTGTGCTTGTGTAAAACATCTTTTTATGAGTACGATCTATTGTATTTCATGTTAACTATTCGAGTATTTGTCGATTCCTTAGTGTCTGTCAATTCATTTCGTTTAACATCAAATGTATGACAGTTTAAAAGTTTACCTATTCTACTGTTCATACAAGTGCTAAATCAGAAACTGAATGAACTGATTTTGTTTTATTGATACATAAAAATATCGATCTTTCTTGTTCTACTGGAATCATTTTTTCGAGTACAATTAATTGATCGCTAACTATTCGACATTAGCCAATAGAAACAAATTACTTTTGAATTTAGCACCATTAGTTGAACAAAGTGAAATTCATAATAATTGAGAATGATTGTCATACAACGATATGATGCACTGTGCTCAGTTCATATCAACATTGTAATCTGCAGTAGATGGTACGTGTCCTCGAATTATTCAGAAATCAATCGATGTAATAATTGTTTACTTGACAGACGATGAATGGGATTCATCAAAATTAAGATTAAGATCCATTTTATTTACTTTTGGTTTATAAGGATTTATTTCAATTAATTTATCAGCAAGCCAAAGCTATAAAGGACGTAAATGTATAACCCCTCATATTCTATGGTTATTCTACCCAGGTCAAAGATTCACGACCGTATACTATAATACTTCATCGTATTTTGACGTAAACTCGGCCAACGTATTACGTCCATCGTAAACGACGTCGTTTACGTTAAAATACGACGGACGCAACGGCTGACGTAATACGTTGGCCGAGTTTACGTCAAAATGCGATGAAGTATTATAGTATACGTCAAATTACGTCGTCGTAATTTGACGTATAGGATGGTCGTAATCGTGGACCAGGGTAGTGGTACTATGGAATACTTACAACAGGATCTTTTGGTTTTTCTTTACATAATGCTGTTAATGCTTTAATTAATGTTTTATTTACATTTTGTTCTAAATAATCTCTAGCTGGGCGACCAAGTGGAATTGGTTCAACAATACCTAAGCGAAGGAGAGAAAACTGAAGGATCATATAATTTACCGTAAAATAGTCTCTCAGGCGCTAATAGTACTTTTCTCTCTTTCTCTCTCTCTCTCTGATTTTACTACTTACTATTTGGAAAAAAGAATCGTATTTCTCGTTCAGCACTAACAGCTGAATCACTTCCATGAACCGCGTTTTTTTGTTCATTTGTACCGAAAAGTGCTCGAACACTAAACGAAAGAAGAGACAAAACAACAACATTACATACCAACTAATGAGAGAATGTACTATATTCTAAACCTATCAGGATGAGATTCTCTAGCTTGTGTTGAATTTGTTGGTCCAATTAATTCTCGCCATGACAATATTGCATTTTCTCTCGCTAATATTAGTGCTAATATTGGTCCACTTGTCATAAATGCAACGAGCGATGGAAAAAACTTTTTACCATAATGCTCACTGTAAAAGTCAGAACACTGTTCAGCTGATAATATAATTCGACGTTTCTAAAAAGAAAAAAATGAAATAGAAGCAAACAATGACTATTAAAGGGTATCTTACTTGTAGAATGGTAAAACCATTTTTTAGGATCATATCTTCAATTTCATTTGCATTTTCTATTGCATCGGGTTTGATGATAGCTAGTGTTCTCTCGACAAATATTCCATGTTTACCAAAGTCAATAATACTATTATGATCGCTTTTTAATGTATCGTCTAACGTTGATTGACGTTTATCATTTTGATGTGAATATCCTAAACTGTTTTCCATTGCAAGAAAAAAATCTTGAAATAACAATTAGATTTTTTATAGTTTAGAGACACGGCTGCTACATCAAATAAATTCTGCTCATATGCAAAAGTCGTTAAGGAACGTTAATGAGTTTCTTCTGAGAATTTAATGGGAGAAAAATCTGAGATAGTGTTTTCAATCATTGATAATTTCCTACTTCTTTACTGTGTTATGAAGCCGCTATCAGTCTATCCATCTAAATCAGATTCCTTATTCTATAACTTTATTCATATATATTTTAGATACAACAACGTTTAAACCTGTCACAAACTTGTTATTTTAATTTTTAGAAAAGAAGTCCATGAACTCTTTTATTATTTGTTGTGCTGGTATCTTGAAAACAATGGTCTGATATCTATAGGCTGAATTCAACTTGATGGTAATGGTGTATCGCAGTATAGAAAAGTAGGATTGTGCGCAAACATAAACTGTTCGATTGCGACTTGAGAAAGACGAAATTGTGTATTAGTGTCGAGTCTCACGTTAAGAAAATAACTGCCATATTTAAAACCGTTACTATGGTACTATCTACATAGTAACGATTGTAGATGATCTACTAATGCAGTAATATTCAGGGAAAAAAATTGAATTATGCGTGCTTCTATACAGATCCGCCGCTCACCCAGTATTCGAAAACATACCAGCCACGCCGATTTCAATATATGCAGTGTAGAACATAAAAAGTTAGTCGTAGAATATTCGACCCGTTTTTTAAAAACATGTGAAACATGGTTTACGATAGGATGAAAGTTTTATGGATGCCCAAATGGTTTTTCGCTTAAAACAAAATAAAACTCTCGTAGATGAAAACGAAGCGATAAGAAAGCTGAGTCAAATGACAAAAGAATTTGTCTGATAGCTATCGGGGTTTTTGAACAGCGATCGACCGAATGCCAAAAATTGAAAACATATCAATTTAGTCACGAAATTTTAAAAGCATGTTCTGTCAAAACTGATTGCAGATGTGGACTCTCCATACTCGGTTACCCCGAACACAATAAGTTTTAAATCGGGATAATATAGAAAAATTTCTTAGTCTCATTCAGTCCTTCTTCGTCTCCTCCAGGAATTTCGTAAAAAATTCTTTTGCAAAACAATGGAGAAATTTTTCCTGGAATACCCCAATTCAAAACTTGTTGCGTACAAGGTAAACGACCATGGAGAGTCCAAATTTGCGATCAGTTTTGGCCGAACACGCTTTTTAAATTTGTCGACTGAATTGCTATAGTTCCAGCTAATTTATCTTGCAAACTGTCCAAAATGTTTTTGAAATTAATATTAAACTAGATAGAGCTCATCGAACTCTACAAAATGGCCGTAGTCGATTTTGGACGTCGTCTTCACTATTATTTTGAGCGTCAAATATCATAAGATATCGATTCTCTTTGTATGATTTGAGCGCGCTCTATACTTTATTTGTCACATCTGCTGCAGCAAAATCGTTTCTTTTACCGTTCACTTCCGTATTCCCTAGACGATCGAAAGTACGAAAATCAGATAAGAATCTTATAGAAATCTTATATGCTCCAGTGAGAGAAATGCATGCTGTAATTATAAGATTCTTATAATTCACAATATAAGAATCATATAAGAATTGAATAAGATTTCAGTAAGATTTTAGTTTTATAATTTACTTATAAGATTCTTATAATCTTATAGTGCCTTATAAAAAATGTTCAAACATTTCAAAGTTCAAAACTAAAGAATTACTAAGGAAATTTTGATATATGTACTAATAGCGGTTTTTCCTCAAGTTTCTGTTCACTAAAATTTGACTAACCCTCGTCAAAAATCAATGTGCAGTATAAAAGAAACAAAGAGGATTTCACTCGCGGGAATTGTATTTCTATGGTGACTGCACGCACTTCACACTTTCGTTACCTAACGCATGTACCTTAGAAAAATTCTAAATCTGCCACTGCGTGATTCTTGGTGGTGCAGGAAAAAAAAAGAAGAAAAAATGCATTGTTTATCTATACTATATAAACAATGCAGTTTTTCCTTCCTTTTTTCTCTTTTTTCTGTACTACCGAGATTCCTAAAAAAAAGTAAAGTAAACTTTTGTGAAGTTCACAATGTGAACTTTGACTAATGAAAGTTTACTTTACTTTACTTTTTTACTTTTTTTGTTATGGACCACCGAAACAAAGGAAATCGGACTGTAGTAAATTCGACATAATGCAGTGTCGTTAGTCAACAGGAATTTTTCAGCCATGTTCCACATATTTTTGAAAAACTTACTGTGCTTAAATTTACTGTACGTAAATTCTTATAGATTATAACATCCCCTATAAAAAGAATTCCAATGCGCACCGATGCGCATGGTATGCCATCGGTCACTGGCACTGACTGGCACCAGTGCACAGTGGGCATTTTTTGCTAGAGCAAGCGGACTTTAGCTTTATGAGTGAACTAAAATTTCATGAACCATCTTTTTATAGGTTTTTCATGATCCTCTTTCTAATGGCATGAGAGTTGGGTTTTA